GTGCCCAGGCCGCGGGTTGGGAACCTAACATCCCCAACCCGCACATCCGCCGCCTCGCAGCCCCACGCCCCAGATACAGCCGCCGCGAGGGATCGGTCGAGGCCGCGGAGCCTCAGCTCCGCCTTTCTAATGGGCCGGGCGAGACGGACCCCCTCGTCGCCGGCAAACACACGGCGGAGGTCGGCGTAGAGGGCATCAGCCCTCTGTGTCGCCGTTGGCCCATTTTTCTCGCCCGACCCCGTGAGCTCCACAACCATGGCCCCCGTGGCGGCCTCACGGACCCGGAGGGAGTCTATTCCCAATTTCGGGAGGTCGATCTCCCTCCGGGCCCTGGTCATGGTCTCTTGGTATGCCCCGTCGGCGCAGGTTATGGTAACCGCTGCCGATCGGGGCGCTCTACGCCTTGAGGCGTCCCCTCCTGGACGCCTCTTAGGCTGCTGCCGCTGCTGCCGTCCTCCAGCGCGCTGGGTGGACGGCGCCGCCCTTGCGGCACCCTTCCCGGCCGGGGGTTGGGCCGCTTGTGCGGCCTTCGCCCGAGCCGTCCGCTCCCTCCGCCCCACGACCTTCGACCAGGATTCATCCTGGCTAGGGGCATACAGGGCCGGGGGAGAGCCCTTGGTCCCGTGGAGCCGGTCGAGTGGCATCGGGAGGCGGTATTTTTGCCCGCCCTCCCGCCCCCGCCGGCGCGCCACGCGGAGCAGTGGGTGGGGGAGGTGGGAGCCTCGTGCCCCCTCTCCTCTCGCACCACGTCCCTCTTTCTTCTTCCTCCTCTTCTTCCCCTGTCCCGGCGCCGAGGCGCCGGCAGGGGGCAGAGGTGGGAAAGCCCCCCCGAGCGGGCGACCGGCCGTCGAAGCGGGCCTATGTGGTCCGCCCCGGCCTATCTCCGCCCGTAAGTCGACGAGGGCAGCGATTTGCTCGGTATACCAATCGTACCAAGCTCGCTCACCCTCGCCGACGACTCCCGGTGGGTAGCTCTCGGGGAGCGGCGCAGAGGTGCCCCTCAAAGGGGGCCTCATTGCCGCATTACCCCGGCCGCCCGCCCACGTTGGGGACCTAAGTCCCTTCCCCCCCTGAGGACGTTGGGGACCCTTGTCCCTTGACCCCCCCAGGATACGTTGGGGACACAGGTCCCGTACCCCCCCCTTACTCAACCTCTGTCCCTTCCCCCCGGCCGGGTGCTCCACTCTCACTGGAGCATCCAGCACCTCCACCGACTTCACCCGAGGCACTCCCCGCTTTTTGCGGGGGGACTTCTCGGGCGAGCCGGGGAGGGCCAACTCGCAGAGGTGCCCCTCAAATGGGGCCTCATCGCCGCATTACCCCGGCCACCCGCCAACGTTGGGGACTTAAGTCCCTCCCCCCCCTGAGGACGTTGGGGACCCTTGTCCCTTGACCCCTCAGGATACGTTGGGGACACAGGTCCCGTACCCCCCTTACTCAACGTTGGGGACCTCTGTCCCTTCCCCCCGGCCGGGTGCTCCACCCTCACTGGAGCATCCAGCACCTCCACCGACTTCACCCGAGGCACTCCCCGCTTTTTGCGGGGGGACTTCTCGGGCGAGCCGGGGAGGGCCAACTGAAGGGAGGGTTTGGCGCGTCGGACCGCCTCCAACTCCCCTCTGAGCTTACGGACCTCCTTTTGAAGGTCCGCATTGCGGTCTCCGAGGGACTTCATGTCCCTACGGAGAGCCGCGAGCTCTCCTTCCCCTTCAATCCGTTGGGCTCTCTCCGCCAAGGTGCTGGACGCCACCCTCACCAGGGCCGCGGCCTCCCTCAGCTTCCTCTGGAGAGAGCCCTTTAGATTCCCGGAGCAGGCTATCCGGTCTATGGCCGCCGCCTGCTCCATGCTGCGCGCCGCAATGTCCGGGGTGGGAGCCTGTCCCACCTCGTCGGCGCACTGTGCCTCGTAGGCCCGTAGGTCCCTACTAGGCGTAGGGAGGGGAGCGTCCTCCGATAGGGCCTTCCTGGCCCCTCGCTCCCTCTCCCTCTCCTTCTTGAGGGCGGCCTGCCCCTCGCGCTTCTCGCGGAGGCCAACAAACTCACCCGTGGTGGGCGGTCTCCCTTGTCCCCTTTTCTTTGGGAGGTCGTCCTCTCCCATAGCGTCATCCCCATCGGGAGACGCGTACTCCTCAGTGTCCTCGCTGACCAGCGAGGCCCTTGAGGAGGAGACGGGGGTGGTACGTTTACTACCCCCCCCGTGATGAATTCTCCGCCCTCTCGTCCGAGCGGGTGAGGCTCGTGTCCCGACCCGCTTCGCCCCGGTTATAGAGATGCGCCCTCGCGGCCGAGACCGAACGCGACCGGAGCTTCGACTTCGATGAAGCCGGGCCCGGCCGGTCGACCCTCCGCGCGACCACCCTCATCTCTCTATCAACGGCGATGGTACGCTCGCCAGGGGTGCTCGTCGGCAACACCCCTGGTGGCCCGTCGTATGATGACGACGAGGGAGGAACCGGGACTGTATCCCCCCCACCCCGGTCGCTGCGGGATCCGAAGCCCGCTGCGGCAGTAAACTTCTTATCTTTACTTGTACCTTCCATTTTGTATCAAGAAAGATGGTTTGATTTCGGTGTTTCCTTCACCTAGGTCGGTTGGCTTCACCACGCCTGACGAGCCCGACCTGCCCGGGATTTTTTACTGAGGTTACCTACCTCACCACCCCACTCGATCCCACATCCCCACCCCAGACACACACCCCACCCCCCTTACCCATAAAACCCCAACCCACCCCACACTTCCCCGATACACACCCATACCCGCACTCACCCCCCTCAAGCCCCCACAATCCCCCAGAAAACAAAATAAATAAAAACAATACCCATTCACACGACGATCGAGTTGTTTGGTGCACTCTTAGACCCCTTCAAAAAATGGAAGGGGAGCCCCTCCACCACGACAAGGTGGTGCACCATCGGAGGGGATGATGTTCTACCTGGTGTATTTTATTATTTGAAATTGGAGCAAAACGAGTTAACTCTGGAAACTCAGCAAAGATTTTATGGAAAGGTAAATCTGGTAAAGTTGTACAGACTGTCAAATGATTAATTCTTGACAACTTTCCTTTGTGAGTTAAACTAGTAATAGTATCAATCAATTGTCTACGTTTCATGTCAACCAATAATCCATAATGACTCAAAAAGTCTGCTCCTAAAATAGATCGTTGAATACTTGCAATACAAAATTTCCATTTGAAAACTTTGCGTAATCCAAGATTTAAGGCTAAGGTTTTTGAACCATAGGTACCAATCTTGGTTCCGTTAGCAGCAAAGAGATTAAAAGAAGAAGACGGAGTATTTAATACTGACTTTTTTGGAACCAGAGATATGCCAGCTCCTGTATCTATCAAAAAATTAAGGCCTGAATATTTATCGGTGATAACGAGACGATTGTTGGGTGAACCGTTGACATCCATTTCCATCTTCAACGGAACATCTAGTTTTCTTGGTTAACTATGAAGGATTTTGACATAGCACAAGGAATCGTACATTTGATGGCTTTATTACCAAATTTGCTGTGGTAAAAACAAGTTTGCTCATCCTTTTTATCAGTTTTCTTATTTCTTGATGACGACCTAAATCTTCTCTTTCCATTAAATCTAGATCTTGACTTATCTCTAGAACGCTTGACCTCTAAAGCTGAAATTTTACGTTCAAGATCGGCGAGATCACAAGATTTAGTAACACAAGGCTCAGTTGAAGGAGTTATTGTAGCAACTTGAAGTCCAGACTCCCGATCCATGATTTTATCAGTTAAATCGGCCAACTTAATCAGAGGACTACCTTCAACAACTGCTAAAGTTGCTTGAACACGATAAGGTAATCTTTGAAGCCAAATTGAATGTAACACATTATTAGAAATAGTTCCTCCAGCTAATTGTTTAAGTTCTCTCAACAAATCAAACGGTTTCTTATCATTCAATTCAACATCAACCAATAATTGTCTAAGCCGTTTTTCATCAGAATCAATAAAACGATTAATAAGAAGATTCTTTAAATTTACATATTTATCTTTTTCAGGTGGTCTCTCACTTATCTCAGCAACCATTAAAAGAGCTTGTTCGTCAAGATGTCTTATTACTGTGCTATATTTGATATCATCCGAAAGAATTTGAAAAACCAAAAATTCGCACTCAAGTTGAGCAAACCAGAGCTTTGGTTTCTCGAGTTGAGCAAACCAGAGCTTTGGTTGCTTATGCCAGAAAATCGGAAGCTTAAGAAGACGAAATTCGTTGGCATTGATTTCACCAGACTCAGCTGAATTTCTCGGCTCGTTGCTGGTATGTTGAGCTGAGCTTTCCATATTATTGGCATGCTGATCCTGTTGATCCTCTGGAGCTGAAGCTGATCCTGGAGTAGCGGGCGGTGTTCTGTCGACAGGCATCTCGAAGAATTTTCGAAGTCCTATAAAACGAAGTCCAAGGAACTTGCCGAATAATAACTCAGCTACCAAGAAGACTAGAAAATTTTGTCGAAGAAAAGCCGTAAATTGTCCAAGAAGTTTTCACAATTCCTCACTGAACAAGAAATCGGACTTGCAGATTTCTTAGCCACCAATTTTAAAGTTCTGCACTTGACGAGTCACCAGTTGTGGGAACTTATGTGAAAATTACTAGACTTTCTTGTTATTTAATAATAAATGTTTAATCAATTATAAATACATGTATACAATGTCAGATACAGGGAAAGAAAGTAATAAATGTTTTTACAAACAAAATAAATAAATATTGTTACTAAGTAACAACAAATCAATAGCATACAATATATATATCGAAATATATCGATAAACTCGAGTCGATTAAGTCGATAACGAAGTTGTCGGTAAAAGGAATGCCACAAGCTAACTCGCAGTTAAAAATATCTCGATCGAGTATATATCTAGAGCATCTCCGACATGATACCGCGATATGTCGATTATATTTGAACACACGACTATGTATTTATTTTAAATCTTTATCTTTATCTCTTAATCTTAAACTTATTTTTTTTCCGTGCAAAAATTTATTTTTTCCCGCTTTCTTCCCCATCAATTACATAGGTAATTTTTTTCCGTGCAAAAATTTATTTTTTCCCGCTTTCTTCCCCATCAATTACATAGGTAATTTTTTCATTTTTAATGTTTCTTATATTATTACATTTTTTAAACATTATTATTAGAGCCAAAACGCGGATGGTAGTGCGTCAGTTTCATAGAAAAATAAGTTTTCTATGAAACTGAATATGTGCACAGGGCACGAAACTTACTTGGTGTATACCAAGATTTTAAAATTAATCTCAATTCGAGATTTACAATAACCCCTCTTTACCCTTCTGGAGAGACGAAGGCGAGAAAAATATCGGGGCGAAGTCGCTGAATCGGGAATCAAACCCGAGTCTTTCGCTTGCTTGGCGACTGCTCTTACCTGTGAGCTATTCAGACCCCACACCACCGATATTTCTCATTTGCCTTATAATATCTATTACTATTAACGCCATCTTCTGTCACTCGAGAGCCTAATTTCTTAAATTTGTTAGTTTACGCCGGCTGAAAGATGGCACTACCATCCGCGTTCTGGCTTTTACTAGCCCGCGATTATTTGAAATTTGTGATGTCACTCGAGAGCCTAATTTCTTAAATTTATTATTATTAGAATTCCTTAGTTTCTATTTGAAAACCAAAAATCCAATAACAGGCAATAGTTTTGAGATTTTCCTAAAATTGCCCGAAACTCGATTTTTGGCACATTTTGCCGTATTTAAAGTGCCTTGAGTATTAAGATTTACTAGAGATGGTTTCTTTTACAAAAGAGGAAATTTTGGCTCAAATTCCTGATGATCACAGGGATTTAGTTAAATATATTCTAGAAAGAATGAATGTTAACATTGAAAAAGTGAGACCAGATAATCTGAAATATCTTAGAAGTGCTGTTTCGGCTCTTAGGACAAGAAGAAATGAAAAATACGCAGCATCTCGCAGGGATAATAATCGTTTCAGGGAAAAAAATTCGGGATGGTTGAAAGGAGTATTCAAAGTTCCTACTTTGGAAATTATTGCAGAAGAATTGTGTTCTGCTTCAAACGGTGGCCGTTAAACTATGCCGTTCTGTGAAAAATCTTTACAGTCTCAGCGACGAAAGGCTGCTGCATTGAGTGCCAAATACTAACATGATCCATTAAGAATTTTGATGGCAGGTAAACATGCTGCTAGGCAATCAAGAGAGAAAGATTTACGTGCGATCCTGGATGAAGTTTTGAAAACACCAACACGTCCTACAAAAATGCGAAAAATTTTGGCTACTACAGTACCTTTTATCATCAAAAAAACTCCTGAGGAAGCATTGGCTTTTATCCTAGACAACTCTCTAACAAAACATACATACATAAATATGCGCTTGGAATCAAAATCTTCAGAAGCAGACATCTGGCCATCTTATGATGTAAGAAATGTTAAAACATTGTGTAGGTAAAAAAAAGCAATAATAATAAATAAAAATGTAGCAGAAGTAAAGCTTCAAAATATTCTGAACCATACTGCTAAAAGAATTTTAGAAATGCAAGCTAAAGTCGTGGTTCATACTACGCGACAATATAATTGCACAAAAATCGAAGCTGTGCTAACTTGCAGTTGGGGTTTTGATGGTAGTAGCGGTCATTCCGCTTATCAACAAAAATATAAAGAGGCAGCAAACATAAGCGATGAAAACTTATTTGTAACCACTCTAATTCCTCTCCGACTATCAACTTCAACTGGGGTTATTTTATGGAATAACCGAACTCCTCAATCGAATAGATTTTGTTGCCCAGTGAAAATAGAACATGTAAAAGAATCAAAAGAAGTTATTCTTTTACAAAAATAAATATGGAAAATCAAATTCAAAATTTGAAGATTTTCGAGGAGTTTGTAGAAGAATGTAATATCAAGATTTATTTTTCACTACTTTTAACATTGATAGATGGCAAAATTTTGAATATTATCACCAATACCAAATCGACGCAAACTTGCCCCATATGTCATGCAACTCCAAAAGATTTTAGCAATCTAGAAAATATAACTCGAGAATCCTTTGTGCCTAATCCAAACTCGCTGCAGTACGGAATCAGCCCCTTACACGCTTGGATTCGATTTTTTGAATGTTGCTTACGCATTTCTTATAGAATAACTTTTAAGCAATGGCAAGTAAGGTCTGAAGAAAATAAAAAAAAATTTGCTGAAAAGAAAAAAGAAATACAGGCAATTATGTGGGAGAAGTTTAGACTTAAAGTCGACAAGCCTAAATCGGGGGGGAGGTGGAACTAGCAACGACGGCAACACAGCTCGTCGAGCTTTAAATAATACTGATCTTTTTGCTGATTGCATAGGACTCAATCGGCAAATCCTTTCAAATTTTAAAACAATTTTAACCGCTTTATCCTGTCATCTCCCAATTAACGAACGGCGTTTTCAGAAATTATGTACTTCCACAGCTAAGCTTTATATTAATTGCTACCCTTGGTATCCTATGTCATTTACTGTACATAAAATTTTGATTCACGGAGCTCAAATAATATCTACTAGTATTTTACTAGTTGGAACACTTGGGGAAAAGGCATCAGAAGCTCGGAATAAGAATTATAAAAATTTCAGACTAAGTCATGCTAGAAAACATAGTCGTCAAGCAAATCTGGAAGATGTTTTTCTTAGGGAGATGGACACCACTGATGTTGTTATTTTAAGTATCCGCCTCAACAAATGGGTTAAAAAACAAAATCATTTGCCATTTCCCCCTAATGTGGTTGAACTCTTTGAAATTCCTCAAGAAGTATCAAATATTATTGCTTCTACAAATGATAATAATGAAAGTGAAGACAACGGATTTTCTGAAGTTATGTGCTTTTTAAATAAAACAGTATTGTCTGACGAAGAATAGTTACTGAGAGGCAAGGGGACTCACCCTAATAAAGCACCCCCAAAAAGTGAGGCAAGGGGACTCACGTAAAACAAGCACCACAAAGGGATCTGAAATCACACTGCAACCTCCACGTGGTAGGCCCTGGTAACTGCAGGCCAATAACAAGTGTCAATATGTTTTTTAAAATTCGGGATCAGCGACCCCGAAAACCCTCGAGTGAAAATTTTTATGCAAATCCCACTAAATTTCACAATTTCGGCCGCCATATTGGGTCCGCTATTTTGAATTTTCAATTTTCAATGTCAAATTCGGGATCAGCGACCCCGAAAACCCCAGAGTAAGAATTTTTATGCCAATCCGATCAACGTTTGACTTTTGGCCACTTTTTCCAGTCTTGTAGCCCACTGTGCAGTGGCGTAAAAGAGGACAATATTCTGCAAAATTTTGAAAATGCTTGTTTTTACTTGAATTTTTGAAAGTTATCAATTAATAATTGTATGTTGACATTGTCGACTATCGATTATATCATAAATTAACTATCAACCAACTCATTTCCACATCACCAAAAAGCAGAGTTATTGGCGCGTTTCTTTTTTAATGTGATATCCGCAGTAGATTTAATCTACACTCACAATATATTTTAAATTATTGTAAACGGCTCCGTTTTGATGGTCCAGGTTGATCTCTCTCATCTATTTCTTCTGTAGTTGAAAAAGGAATTTCAGAGTTGTCGTTGATCTCAGTAAAGGGCAATGTTCCTTCAATTTCTATCTGTAATTTTTCTTCATCCTCATCTTCAAAATCGTCTAAAATCTGAGGTATGTTTTCACATGTTTTCCCATTGCAGTAACCGCAGATAATGGAGCATTTGAGGCCCACTTTTCTACAACCGCAAGCTGCATCGCATTTCGTCTTGCATTTACATGAAATAAATTGGAGCAAAGCTTGAGGAGCAAGATCTTTTGTGTTTCTAATTGGAATAAGTCCAGCCCCACTCCTGTGAATTTTATGGGATGCCATACCAAATCTAGGCTTAATAATACGTCCTAAATGAATGCTGATGTGCAGCTTCTCGTGTAGG